ACGCTGAGTCCAGGCTTATGGCAGAAGTCAAACCCTGTTGGGTTGGGTACTTGCATGCAAACATGTGTTTTTAGATTACCAGAAGTGATAATTAAGAAAAGAATGACAGAGGTATCCATCTTTCATAAATTGATTCTGAAAGCCAGAGTCAAATCATAAGGTGTTTGAGGGAAACGCATTTATGGTATTATATCACCATCACTACTTGAGGAGGTAGCCCCTAGAGCCCTCACAATGGGGCAGGTGCTGTGATACTGCCCTGAAACAATCCTTCAGTAGCTGCTTTACTCTCTCTTTACAAGTGAGAAGTTAAGGACCCTCCCCAGGTCATCTAGCAGTGATGAGCGAGGATTCAAACCCAGGCCCAAATGCAGAGCCCAGGCTAGGCAAAGCTGCACCACTTTGTCTCCTAATAAAGGCTATGACAAGTGGGCTGTAGTAAATGCAACCTAAAATTAGATAAAAGAAAAAAGGAATGAAACCTTTTGAAAGTAAAGGGCAACTTCTGATTTTGTTCTCAGTCCAAAAACAACTCATTGATTCAGTGTCTTTTGGAATAGGCCTTCCACTAAAATGCATTTCACCTAATTGATGCTTCCCCAAATCCAGTTTACATGTATTTCTCTGCCTTAAAGTGATTAGACTAAACGTTACAGAACTACTTGTTCTACTTCAGGTCTATCACTTCTCAAGAACACCTAGAGCAGTAAATACTGTGACATCCACAAAGCTCATTTTCTGGTTTTTTGGTCTCTTCCCTCACTACCGTGAGCTCTTTCTCTTGTCATTGCTCTGTCCTGCTGTAGGTGACTCTGGCACCCCCTCTCCTTATCCTACCAATTTGCTGCTTATCACTTGCACTGAGACATTTCTGATAGGGCTTGCTTCTTGATGGTCTAGAGGGAAAGTCACCTCCAAACAAGTGAGCTCTTATCATATTAATGTGACTCAAATATTACTCATCAATTTAAAAAGCATTTTTTTCTCTCCTGGAAGGGATCATAAGAAACTTTTCTTATGTTACAAGTCATTACCCTTGAGGAAATAGGCTGGCGGATAGAGGTGGGAGAAAATGGAGTTCCCCTGACCCCGTTTTTCACTTAATACATTTCATTAATTGAAATTATCTAATGTTATATGTGTCTTAGTTTTACCTTAAGAATATCTTTTTTTTTGAAACAGAGCCTCAAGCTGTCACCCTGGGTAGAGTGCCGTGGCATCATAGCTCACAGCAACCCCCAACTCCTGGCCTCAAGCGATTCTCCTGCCTCTGCCTCCCAAGTAGCTGGGACTACAGATGATGGCCACAAGGGCTGGCTATTTTTTAGGGGGTTGCAGCTGTCATTGTTGTCTGGTGGGCCCAGGCTGGATTCGAACCCACCAGCTCAGATGTATGTGGCTGGCACCTTAACTGCTTGAGCCACAGGCGCTGAGCCTACCTTAAGAATATCAATACTGATCACCTGGGCAGGAAGAGTTTTAATCTTTTTTTTTCTTTTTATAGTTTAAAATACTCTGATGATCTAATGGTATCTGTGTATGTATTTTTTATTCACATCTATAACATAAATACATATATGCAAATATAAATTTTAAAGATGCCTATCAAAATTACTCAAGAAATCTAAATTTCTCTGTTAATGTTCCATTATATGATAATATTCAAATTCAGCTGCCCCTTAGTATCCATGGATACTCTAGTCCCTTATACAGAATGGCAGCAGTATTGGCATATAACCTGTGCACAACCTCCCATATACTTTTAGTCATGTTTAGATTACTTACACTTAATAACATGTAAATAGCTGTCATACTTTATTGTTTAGGGAATGATGACAAGAAAACCAGTCTGAATATGTTCTGTATAGAGCAATTATTTTCCTGAATATTTTCAATCTGTGGTTGGCTGATTCCACAGATGCAGAACAGCTGATTGTACTTCTGCTGTTACAAATTCTAAATTATCTTCTCATGTGTGTGCCTGTGTTTTAAAGCTTCTTGATTTATGAATAAATTCCTAAATATTTCTTGAAAAAGGTTTCTAGGGGTGGGTATGCAGTTTTCAAAATGAATTTTGAAGAAACGCATTGAGTTAAGTTTTTGAAAAACAAATTCTGCTGTGGCATATTTTTTGTGATGGCAACCTACACTGTAAGATATAAAATAAAACTTCACAATAATTTTTTTTTTGCAGTTTTTGGTCGGGGCTGGGTTTGAACCTGCCACTTCCAGTAGATAGGGCTGGCACCCTCCTCCTTGAGCCACAGGCACCACCCAACTTCACAATGATTTTTTATAAAATTACTTATAGATCGAAATTATAGACTCTCACCTCACAGTTTTTTTTTAGAGACAGAGTCTCACTTTATCGCCCTCAGTAGAGTGCTGTGGCATCACACTGCTCACAGCAACCTCTAACTCCTGGGTTTAGGTGATTCTCTTGCCTCTCAGCCTTCCGAGTACCTGGGACTACAGGCACCTGCCACAACACCGGGTTTGAACCCGCCACCCTTGGTATATGGGGCTGGCGCCCTACCCACTGAGCCAGAGGCACCACCCCCACACTCAGTTTTTTTCTTAAAAAATTAGAACCCATATAACCACTGTATGTTAAAAGTCATAAAAGACAGAGCTAAAAAAACCCTCATGAAAAAGGACTATATGCAATCAAAGCATCATTGAAAGTATTAACATGTACTTCATTTCTTGAAATTTCCTTCTTTACTTTAAAAAGAGGCATTTGAAAAAAAATAATAGTTCAATTCCTTAAAATTAAGAAGTCTACCTATTCTAATACATAGGGGACCATAAAAAGTTTGCTACCTATGGTGAAGTTCTCCAGGTTCTAATGTTACTGATCTCATTAAGCACAAATACAAAGTTTTTGGTTTCACAATTAGCTATTTTGGTTTACTTCCACTTCTTAGTGCTCCTCAGGAAGTATGTTGAGGAAAACAAAAAGTAACTTCTTCAAATCAAGGTAGGTGTCTTCTCATGGTCTCATCATTGTCAGAATCATCACCATAGATCAAAAGCTATTTATTTGTGACTCACTGCTATTAAAGTAGCTGCAACTTTCCCATCAGACTGATACAATCTCTGCTAAGAGTGTGGGAGGCAGAGGGGATTCTGAACAGAAACAGAGCTGGTTCTTGCCTGTGCAGGCTTACAGGGTAAAGGTAATGCTGAAGCAACAGGGTAAAGCTGGGGGGAAGGGAAAGCCAAAGGGCCAATGAAAACAGACGTGGGCACATAGTAGGTTCTCAATAAACACTTGCTAAATGAACGAGATGATTCTACTCATATAACACAAATTATTTGAACAAAATGATATAGCCTCATTCTTCAAAATTCTATTAAGAGAGTAACATTGCTCATCTGGCTCTGGTGTATAGGAAAAAAAAACAGATCGAGCAATAGCACAGAGGCAGAAGTCAGAATAAGCAAGCCAACTTCAGATCTCCCTTTCCTCAGGCATACATAGGGCTCCACAGCCCGTGTTTTTCTGAGAAGCTACAGATCTACTATACAGCAATTAGTTAACTAATTTAACTTTGGACAACCAAACACCTGTTAAAAAGTTATTTATGAGGCTCATAATTTAGTTTTCGGGAAAAAATATTAAGTCTTATGAATTCTCATCATATCAAATGATAACATTAATCTTCATCTAAATGCAAAGCTAAAAAGAGATCATGTGGAGGTTATCAGCCTTTTCTTTTCTATTTTCTCTTTTTTATGCACACTACTTAACAGACACCAAGAGGAGTAACAGCTCTTCACAGAATCCCTGAGTTAGAAAAGCCCTCAAAGGTCATCTGGTTCAATTACCAGAATATGGTCAGAAATTGTACCTGTGAAACATAGAACTATATATAGAAGTGAGAGCACATACCTCTACTGCCTTAGTGTGGTTGTTTTTGCTATTGTTAGTAAGCCAATATATAATCTCTTAATCACAATTTTTTTTTTTTCTTTTTGCTGTTTTTGGCCAGGGCCAGGTTTGAACCCGCCACCTCTGGTATATGGGGCTAGCGCCCTACTCCTTTGAGTCTCAAGTGCACCCCCAAATCCTTTTTTGTTGTTAATTTATTTAAAAGCATAGATATTATGAGGACATATCACTATTAAAATAATATTTTAGTACTATTAGCATGACTCTGTTATGTGGATATTTTAAAATTAAGAAAAACATTATATGAGTGCTAATTCATACTGCTATTATTTTAGTTTGAATTTGGATAGAAGATTCTTAAAGTTAGTATAGGCATTTAACATAGAACTCCACTCTATGGCACATTTCATCTAAAAGGGTGCATAATAAAAAATTAAGGCACTAAAGTTAAATATGTATGTTTTAAAATTCCACAAGAGGTACTAAAATGAATATAACTTTTTTGTGTTTATTAAATTGTTTTTTCTATATTTTGAACAAATATATATGATAATATTAAAATTTTTTTTATTTTAAACCATTGCCAATTACTATATAAGAAGATTTGCTACAACACACTTTATGTTACTATAATTTGTAATACTAAGGCTATACTAAAAAAATTCAAAAGCAGGTTGCAGTTCTTTTAGGTAAAATCTAAGTAATTCTGCCTGATCATAGCATATAAATTGTCTAATTTCACAACTAATTTGTCAAACAAAAACGTTTTTGTGTAACAAAAATGCCAGTCCCTATGAAATGCCTCATACAGTGTAATGTGTTAAAAGAACCATAAAACATAGGGTAAATCATATTTTGCAAAGAGGCCTGTGCACATTTAATAGAAAACCCACATTATAGCCAGGTTTAGTATCTCCAAGATATGAATGAGATGAGAAGGGACTTTTTTGTTCTAAACAACAGTGCCACTCAGTGGCCGGAAAATGGTAGTAAAATGAAAACAGTATGAAGAGAAGGTGGGGAGAAGGGAAAATGGAATTTTGGAGTAGGCAATGATAATACTGTAGACAGGGAGGGGGATGCTACATTGCTAAGGTAACTGTACCTTGGAGGTCAGTTAGCGTCTGGACAGGAGCAGAAACCTGAGCATCGCTTCCTGTAACTATATCGCCTAGATTTCATAAGAAAAAATAATTAGATTTCACAAAAAGGAAATAACTTTTCTTTCACATTCAAAGTTGTAATAGTTTTATCAAATTACTAAAAGTAAAGCACAATAAAACATAAAGCACATGCTTAAAAATTAATATTAATTATTTTTAAAGGAAATAATTTTTAAGAGTGTTTCCTAAGAAGCTTTTGTGTTTTTCATAAAGAAAACATAAACAAGTTTCTGCTAGTCTAGAGTATAAAAAACTTTAGTTATCAAAAGATTTTACTGAGCAGATTTCATAAGCAATCTTCAAGTATTAGTGTGATTTCATATTTTCTTTTTCTTTTTGAAAAGAATTTTTTATCCAAAAGTAACCTATATGTCACTTATTTAAAAATAGGCATTCTTTTGAAATTGATTTTCTCTTATATCAGACAAAATTTATTTTTAACTAAATGATAAGATAAAGACCTAAATAAGATGGAAGTTCATATTAAGTAATGAAACGATTTCATGAGTTACCACATGTACTTATAAATGTCAACATGTAAAAATAAATCTGTGAACTGCATACCCTTAACTTGATATATTTATCATAGGCAAGATTTCATTTACAAATTGGACCTGTAGTAAGTGCTTAAAATAAAGATGTGTTCAAATTAAAAAGCAATTAAAAATACAGACAAAGGAAACAGAAGGAAAAAAAAAACTGAGTGGATTTTGAGAACACAAGTAAGAAAAGAAAAGGAGCATAAAGGGAAATCTTGTGAAAAACTGGAGGGGAACTACCATTTAGAAGGAAGGCTTTTTGGTTCTTTGATTTCCTTCCTGGATGACAAAGTTCAGCACCGAGTACAGTCACTGTCAACAGAATAATTCTCTGCATATATTGCCATCTGAAGGCCTATGATATTTTGAGATTAATAAGCTACAGAAAGAAGTATTTTTTAAAAAGCACCATATTTTTTTATATATAATTTCTGATTAATAGATTTACTTTCCCTTATGTACAGCAGTAAAAAAATCAATTTCTGAATTTAGTAACATGCCCTTGATGTCCTAACCATTTGCTACATTTATGATTTATAGCATGGCCAGCTCATCTGGAAAGTGGTAGGTTGTAATTATATCATTCCTATTAATTAACAATGCACATTTACTATAACTGAAATAAAATCTATAAATAGGAACACATCCTAAACAAGTGATAAATAGCTTTTAGCAAAAATAGGCCCCAAATTTTCATAATGTAACTCTAAATTCACTGACAAATGGTATGCCCACTTTCTCTGTATTTGAAGATTTTCAATTCTATGCTTGCTACCCATCTTACTGTGCTTCTTCTAAATCACCTATTAATATATAGAGACAAAAAACTCATTTTAATATTAAATATTCAAGAAAATTGTGGAGAACATCTGTGAGGCTTTTTTCTTCCACTATCCCACCCCCAACACACACACAAACTAAAGAATTCATTTCAAGCACACACTTAGGAATTTGGGTTACAAATACTAACTACCCCCATATGAGCAAATAAACACAAATAATTGAGAGTTAACTAGTCTATGAAATCCATAAATAGTTTCATCTTTATAGACAACCATTTTTCAAAACAACTTTCAAATTTTCCAGCACAGCACACTAAGATGGCTATTACATCATCTTTCCTCAAAGGCCCTGAGCAGACGACTCTGTTCTGAGACAGAAATCACACCCCAACACCAGCCTCCTGATGGGCTAAATGCTGTGTTTACTCATCTATGGGACCAGGTGACATACTTGCAGATTTGTCAGTGTGATGGCAAAGCCGGATACTTGTGAGAAATAAAAGCATAAAAAAAATGTTGGAGAAACATTTTTCATTGTAGCCTTGTTAAATATATCTTTTACCAAAAGAACTATAAATATTTAGAGCTGGGAGACTCCCTAGGGATTGACCCAAACCTCTTATTGTAGGGCGAGGAAACAGGATCAGAGAGTGTCAGGGTGCCTTTTGGGGTTCATCAGTGGGTGAGTGAAGGAAAAGTATCAAACCACAGTATCTTCTACTTCTACAAACTATTCTCTTTCCCTTTTATTTTATTCAAACCTCTATGCAGGGAGGGGCATTAGCAGGAATATTTATCATTAATATTGAAGGTAGACAGGCTTTTTGGGTAGACTGACATGAGAAGAAGGAATCAGAAATAAAAATATAAAAGGGCTGTCAAACAAGGCTACTTTGTTTTAGGACAAGGATTAGTTACAAAATGCCCTGGTGACATCCATGTTCCAAATAGTTTGCTTAAGTGCTCTGTTGTCTCCTTGTAACTGGGGACTGAGTTTTCATCAATTGTTCCATCTCCACACACTTCCTTTCTCACTTACTGTGATATTAATACTTGACATTTCCTTAGAGACACAACTTTATATTTCTAGAGTCATTTGGCTTGGTTCCTCAGAAAATTTAAGCTACAACATTAAGAGATTCTCTGACTCATTTGCTTGTCATCAGTTAGAATTACAAGTGACTATAGCTTGTTATCAAAGCAATATTGAAATCATATTTGTTTAGAACAATAAAACAGTACAATTAAGAAATATGTAAAATAACATTCATTCCCATTCTGGAAGTGGGCAAGTCTCTGGCATTAAAATACATTTACAACATGTTAATGACTCCAAATCTCCTTTTTAAAAAATCATGTTTGACAGTTCTGTATCAAAAAGAATGTAATTTTCAATGAGCTAGTCTTATGAAAGGTGCAGTTTTTGTTTTTTTCTTTTTAGCCTGGGTCGGGTTCGAACCCACCAGCCTTGGTATATGGGGCCGGTGCCCTACCCACTGAGCCATAGGCACTGCCTAGTCTTATGAAACGTAATTGAATAATTTAACGAAAATTTAAATACTGATTTATAAAATCTAATATTTCACACAGGCAAAGACATATAGAAAAGATACATAACAAGATGTATGTAACCAAGAGAGGAATACAGACACACACACATATACTCATTATTGAATAATGCTCATCATTTTCATCATTGGGAAATAAAGGCATTTTAGCTTAGGTTTACCAATTTAGATGCCATATGTAAAATTTTTAATAATTTTTGATATAATCTTCCTAAACAGAGTATATGAAAAATAGTTTGAGGTCTTCTCGCTGATCATGTTACTACTGTTATTGTCAATACTAATTATTACTGAATGCTGATGTAATAGAGGGATCCCTTTAAGACATGAATGAGGGTTTTTGGGTCAGGATGTTTGCTCTGACATTAAATAGCCCAAGACTGTTAAGCTTTGTGAGGTTTTAGGATAGCTTTTTATATATATTGTGCCATCATGTTATTATTTCTTGTTTCTATAGTACAGTTAGCCGAGTCACACCACTAAAAATAAATATAGCTGTTTCAAATCTGTTAAGAATAAGGGGGATTAGGCTGGGTGTGGTGGCTCATGCCTGTAATCCTAACCATCTGGGAGGCTGAGGCTGGTGGATTACCCGAGCTCACAGGTTTGAGTCCAGCCTGAAACAGGTGAGACCTTGTCTCTAAAAACAGCAGGGCGTTGTGGAAGGTGCATGTAGTCCTTGCTACTTGGGACACTGAGGCAAGAGAATTGCTTGAGCCCAAGAGTTAGAGGTTGCTATGAGCTATGACGTCAAGGCACTCTACCCAGGGTGACAAAATGAGACTGTCTCCAAAAAGAAAAAAAAAAAAAAGAATAGGAGGGCTTAATATATTATGTCATTTTAAAATAGGTGGAAAACAGGAGTACATAGATTCTGAGTAAGAACCTGAACGTCTCTCTTATGAATAAAGTACACGAGAGAGGTGAAGCATTGGAAAGGTCACAAAAAAGGAAAGGTCACATAAAAGGAGCTCACCAGAGTCCCAGTAGCAAAAGTGCTACCAACAGCAGTGCCCCTCTCTTATCAAAGCAGATGTCTACATGGACTGGTATCTCAGGGTTCCTCCACTCTAACATTCTGTGGTTCTAACTTTTAGTTCATGGACACATATATTTATTTTGGCTGCTTAAGATAGTTTAGATGTTTTTCCTCTTTAAAATTCTAGTATGTATTCCTGAGAGATAAAGCAGCTGAATGAGAGACCACAAGCCTCGTGGCATGGTGCTGCCAAACCACTGCAATGTGTTGATTAATGCTTGAACTAGTAAAGCCCATGGCATCAGAATCCCCATTTCAAATTCTCTCCTACTGTACAAAGTCTAGCAGAGAATAGACCCCACTGATCTCAAGTTCCGTATTGTGTCAATTCATGCCACCATACTGTATGGGCACCCAAAGGACAAAACCACAAGTCTACTAGAACATAAATGTTAAATAAAAACCTCTACAAATTACCTAATAAAATGTTTTTAATTAAGAACAATAAAGTATCTAATATTTCAACTTAAAAAGGATCAAAAATAACATACTAAAAAAATAATTTTTGCATCAATTTCTATTTCTAAGAGGTTGATTCCTCATAAGCAGGTAAGGAAATTTCAGGCTACACTATGAGCATGTTCTTTGGATCGATTAGCACTTTTTTCCTACCTTTGTTCAATTGCACTGGCATGCTTTCCGATTTCATCAGCCTCTGCTGTTGTTGCTGCTGCTGCTGCTGTTGCAGGTGATGCCTTGGGGCCTCTGTTGAAGTCCTGGTGGGAATTACAGCAGAGGAGGCACTACCACTTTGGGCCGCTGGTACAGGACCACTCATGGTTCCTGGGGCCATCGCTGGGGAAATTAACTTTCTTCCAAAATTAATCAGGCTATTAGAGACCTTATTTATATTCAGAGGAGCACCTTTAGCATTGGTCCTGTAATAAAAAAAAAAGAAAAAGAAGATTACTCTATTTCACATACTTCATTGTGTGCTTTGGAAAAGGCCATTCACTGGCTGTGTAAGGTGAGAAGTGAAAACTTAAAAGTGACCACAAAAATAACAAAAAAAATGAGATTCTTAAAAACATGGCTTATGGAAGAAAGCTTTATTACTTTTCATTCATTTATTCAACAAACAGCACCTATCATGTGCCAATACTCTGCTAGATTCTGGGGATGTAATTGCCCAACAGAGACACAGTCCCTCTCCTGGAGCTGCTAATCTAGTAGTAAAGAACTATCTTAATCAAAAATTTGCATAAATAAAAAGATAACTTACAACCTGTGATGCAGACTACCAAGGTGAGGCATAGGGCTGGGCAAGTGCTGGGGTGCTCACAGAAGGGCACACCTATGAAACGAGGCTGAGAGTAGATTTCCCACAAGTCCTGGCACACAGGTACTAGACCAAATTTAAAATGGCTTTGAAAATAAATGTGTTTGAGAGTCACGAAGTAAATTCATAAACACTATGTCAAGTGCCCAGTCCATTAAAATTGCAATCCACGTCTACCCCATTGCCACTCTTTCTATCCTCCTTCTCCACCTCCCTGATTTATTTATTTATTTATTTATTGAATGGTAACTGTGTACATTTATGCACTTCTAGGGTACAGTGTGGTGTTTTCACACACAATCTGAAACCGATTTTTTTTTTTTGATAGCACTTTTCATCATCTGACAAATGTATATTTTATTTATTTGGTTATCATTTGTCCACCTCCTCCAATTTCCATTTGAATAGAAGTTTCATCAGGGCAAGGATTTTTGTTCTTTTGTTAAACGCTATGTTGCCATCGTCTAGAACGCTGCAGGTGCTTTCTAATTATTTGTTAAAAGGTAGCTGCATCCACCCACTTGTCACAGTGGGACAAGAGGCCCTGCTTCTAGCCATGACCCGCTTCTCCTAGTCGTGATCCAAATGCCATCTCCTTTGATCTTTCAAGATAGCTGCTTCTGTGTCCTACCTGCATCATCATTTCTCATTTACTGCATCATTCCATTAGCATACAACCGTGGGGAGTGTGCATGTGTGCATACTAACTTCTCCTCTGAACCCTCATTCCTACTACACTTCTTTCCTTATTCACAACATGTATTTTCAAGCTATCTTAACTTGCTACTTCTGCTTCTTCCGTCTTTGGTCTACTAAGCTCTGGCTGTGGTCTCTTTGCCATTGCTCTAAAACCACTTTCCAAGGTCACCAAGGACTCCTGCATTGAAAATCCAAAGGTCTGTTCTATTTGACTCTCTTAGCAGCTGTCAACTCCCTTAACCATTCTTTTGCCTCTTATACACTCTCTTTTGCCTTCCATGGTTCACCAGCATCTGAGTTATAATTGTGTCTGGCAAATAGAGGGCACCAGGTAAACATTTGTTAACCAACAATTACTTCCTAAATATCTTAGTTGTAGGAGGCAGCACAACTCCCTGACAATACTGAAGTTTGTATTTTTACTGACCAAATCATTAATAGAAACTTCTTTCCTTACAATTATGCTTTTTCATAAAAGTGGGAAACTGAAAATCCACTTTGAGAGATCTACTAATTTGATTTTAACTAAACTGAATTTTTATTATCATTTCCCTTTCTTAGATCTATCTGACAGCATTTATACAGAAATTCTTCTTTTTATATGACAGCTATATCTTTATAGATATAGTATAGTATTAACTAGGTATTGCTCTAAAACAGAATTGATCCACAGTTCTAAAATAAAGTTCCATAAAGTTTTCTCTAATGGTACTAGCTAAATGTTAAGGGCTAGGCATTGAAGACTTACATTGCTTTGGAGATAAGACACATCAAATTTAAAACACAGAATTTAGCTTTATATAAGAAAGATCTATTCATTTATAACTCAGTGAAGTGTGAAAAAAATTTCAAATGTTTCTTTTGACATCAAGTTTCATCTTTTTAAGACTTGAGCTAATCAATGTCTTTCCAAAATTATTGAAAATAATGCTTCTTGATGGACATAAGGATATAGGTATGATTACGCACCACTTAGTTCATTTTTCAGCTGCTTCCTAATGAAGTAGAGCACTGCCAAGTTATAGATACTAAAGGTTAGCAATAGAGAAGCCATTCAATACATGTTTATTGAGACAAAAATGGTTGAAATGAGAAAAAGGAAACTTGTAAATTTTGGATGAACTAGGCATTTACTCAGCACCCTGCATCCATTCCCATTCCTTGTGAGTGGCAGTAGAAAGAAGAGTTATCATGAAGTTCTGTTGCCTTGAAGTTTTGCATGTTTGCAAGTCAAGATTCATAATTCACAGATATGAAGAAGTTATAATGTTGTTAGCCTCTTTTATACACAAAAATGTACCAGTCAAATTCCCATATTGCCAGTTGTAAAATTTATATGTTGATAAAAGTACTAAGAAACTGCTAGAGCATTATCAAGAGAATATGGTTAATGTATCTTCATTACTACTAATAGCCATGAAAAACATATAGATCTAGCTTATGCTGAGCAATTTTTCATCTGAATAGCTCTTAAAAGGGGATGAACACTATTTTCCTTTTTTGAATTTTTTAAAACCGCTTTCTCCCTCATCTACTACCTATAGCTTCCAGAACAACATTTTCTTTTCAAAACAACTATTGAAAGTGACTGTATGTATTTTTAGGATATAAGCAACTGTAAATCGTGTACTTGTAGCGAAAGCAATCTGCCCATAGTTTTTCTTTTTTAGGCATGACAGTTTTTATGCCAAAGTTCTCTAATTTGGATCTGAAATATAAGTAGCAGCGTTCTTCAAATGAAATACTAAATAACTTCCAACAATTATTAATGGCTGTACTATGTACTGTTAAGTCCTATGTGTTAAATTAATGAAAATTTATGCACTTGTCAGAGATCTGATGGGCAGTGGGGACTCGACTGGATAAAAGATGAAGTGTAATGTTAAACAGTGTTGAAATAAATGGCAAGAAGAATCTGGTGTTAGCAAGACACTGAGTATCAAACCTAATGAGAAACCAATTCTGTGTAACTGAAAGCTTTCATTACTATGTCTATCTAAATAGTACCACCTAGGAGAGATTGTTTTAAAATTGTGCCAAGTATCTACATTTGGTACAACGTCATTTAGCAGATTAAGTCAGCATCAACAAGATGCATTTTCTGAAGACCCAAGAATCTCTTCAAAATACCTGTACCAGAACCTAATTCTGACCTGACTTCACTGCTGGGGCTTCTTTTGCTTAGTTTCTGATACCTCTTCCTAGACTCCTGCTATCTTACAGCCCAGCTTTCTAACCCATACTCTGCTGAGAGAATTTTTAAAGTCTCCAATGCCTTCTTAGTTGCCAGAGCCATGACTTGTTTTTATTCAACTTCTAAAATCTATCTGAAACTTAAAAAAAAAAAAAATTATCATAGTATCACCTTTGTAACAATTACCCACAACCTTTCTCTCTTGGTATTCAAATCTCAACACCATCCTGCTTTATCTCCTGTCTACCTATATTTATTTTTAGAACCGGTTTTAAATATCTAATACTTATTTCACTTTTTGCAATAAATTTTGTTTGATGTTTCTTTATGTTTTTGTCGAAGAATCCATTTTCAATTTGCAGGGAGCTCTAAAAGTCACCCCTGAAGTTACCATACAGAGGGAAAACAGGATATTATAGTTCAATGTATATTTACAAAATATTCACTACAAAATTTTACAAAGGGGTGACTACACGTAGAATACTTTTGTAAATACAGAGGGTGCCAAAAAAAAGTATACATATTTTAAGAAAGGAGAAAACTATATTGAAATTGTGATAATATATACCAATAACAAAAGATGAATAAAGGTCACATTTGACTTCTGGTGCTCAGTGGTTACCATCAGCATCCAGACACTTCTGACTATGGTGGACTACTACTTGACCATGCTGACCACAGTGTCCACTTGTATCGCTGCACATGTTGGTCACTTTCTTTCTGAAGCACTGCTAGCCTAGCCAGTTTTCTACAGTACACCACATCCTTTAAGGTCCCTGGTAGGAAGAAGTCAAGGCATGTTGAGTCAGGAGATTAGGGAAAACTCAGCAGCACCTCTTTGTCCTATCCATTGTCCTGGCAAATTCTCATTGATGTAGGGTGACCAGACGTCCTGCTTTTGGCGGGATAGTCCCCCTTTCCTTTTCAACAATTTGTTCCGCGTCCCGCGGCGTTTTCAAAAAGTCCCGATTTTTGGAAAGAATGCAGGAACGGGCAGAAGAACAAGAAGGGAAAATACGGTTTTCGGCTGCCATGTGGCTATTTCACCAGAATATGAGTTTTATATTATTTTTAATTTTACAATGTTAAACTGTAATAATAACAAATAATTGCTGAGAAGTGATTATCAAGAACTGCTTATCAAAGTTTGCATTGTTGTCAGGCCCTGCCCTGCCGCGTTCAGTCCCTTGCCCCGCCCCCTGGCCCGGTTGTCCTGCCTTACCGATGTTAAAATCTGGTCACCCTACACTGATGTAAACTCTCACATCTTGGTGGAAGTACACCTTCCATTAGGGTGGTGTTCATTCGGCACATGTAATACTGTAATCTTGGGATGATACTTCCCACTTTGCTGTTTTAAGACTGAGTTGCATGCTTCTGCTAAATCCTGTCTCACCTGCACATTGTTTGCTCTTTTCTATGGTGAGCATGTTAACTGTTCCAGCACCACAGCAGAAGACGAGGGCCTGTTGCTGTGTGAGACTGCCCAGATTTTCCTTTGTGCACATCACACATACTAACATGTATCTCAAACTTACACCAACATGTGCAATTGTTAGGCGTGTTGGAGGTTCTCTTGCATGCTCACACTTCCATTGGCATTGTAACTCTCCCCTTCTCGAATTTCAAATACCAATTCAAAATGGCCCAGCTTGAGTTATGTAAAATTTAAATAAAAGTTTGCTACAAAAACAAAAACAAAAAAA